ATGTCAATACTTTTTCAGTACATCTGTGAACGACACTTTCAAAAAATTTCAAATAAATCTTTATTTACTGGTTTAAGAGCAACAACTCATTTTGGAAAGCCCAATTTTCTGAGATTTTTCATGTCTGTTCAAAAATTACATCCCACAGTAAGTAATGTTAATGTCTCTACTTGCTTCTAATATTATTATATCATTAAAATTTTACAAAACATAGTAATTATATTGTATAAAATGTTTTCATTTTAGATTAACAAGATTGGTGTTTTTAGTTGTGGTTCACCATCTGTAACACAAGCTGTTGATGCTGCTTGTAAGTCTATAACTTTAAATGAAAAACTAAATGTTCTATTCCAACATTATTATAAAAGTTTCTAAACATGTAATTAATTATCTCTGAAAATATGTTAATAAATTTCAAACAATTAATATATTCTCTTTCCAACCGCTATAAAATATATATAGTATCGGACAAATTTATCTTAATTGTAAAAATCATAGGAATGTAACTTACAAAATATTTTATATAATCATAAATAATGGATGTACAAAATAACCATTACTTAACCTCAAGAAAATATGTAATAATATTATGAATAATTACAAAACGAAAATTTAAAAAATTACCTTTCGTATATCGAATTATTGTAGAATGCTTCATCGCAAATAGAAAGAACAATTGTTGTTATCACAAACAAACTTATACCTCAGATAACTCCATAGCGGAAATGATGACAGTGAGAATGAGAGTGAATATTCAAGCTTTATGCTCCTCAACTGCACTCAACTGCTCAACTAATACTCAACCAGGGGGCGTCAACTCTATAGGGAAAATTAGAGACACTTTTTGAGCTAGCTGAGACACACCATCTGAGCTAGCTGCAAACTTGGGCGAACTAAAATTCAATATGGCTGCTCACTCGCACGTGCATTTGGTGGACTATGGTAGATCATGTGCCGACCCAACGCCATTCCCGCCATTCTGAGCGAATAAGCCACACTTATTTTTATTTCCTATAGTATCTTATATCTTTATAATAGTATTTAGAATACATATATATTTTTTTTGCATCCTATCATCGACAATGTAGCAGCGAGGATAGGAGGATAGAACATCAGAGCCAGGAGCGGCAAAAAGATATCGGAGCGGATAAATCAATTTAATAAACACGTGTACGTACATGCTTCATTAGAAATAGATTTTTTGCTGTATACCACTATAAAAAAGAAAATAAAAAATTTGTTTCCTATATTAGATTTTAACTTTGATTATTTTCCTTTTCCCTGCTTCTTTTAGTCGTCCAAGTTTACAGCTAGTTCAGGTGGCAGTCAAAATAGTACTCTAAAAATTTACTAAGAGTCGAGCCCTCCACCCCACCCCCTGTACTCAACTCAACCAATATTCAACGCAACTCAAAGTTTCTAATGGTTCTATGCCTATATCTCCAACTCAACACAAACTATTTTTGCTGGCGATAGTGCTACCCCAAACGGAAAAAGAGCGTAATTAGTACATACTACATTTATTAGAATATGTAGGCTAGCCTGCTTGTAATTATGTATGTATATATACATACGTGCATACATACATATTTAGATTTTAGAATTTTAGATAGAAGGTATTAGAAACTACTTCTATAGTTTGTAATTTTACGCTACATACAATACAATAAAAATACAGATAGTTACAAAATATTACAATGCTTTGCTTTATTGTGAAAATGTAAATTAATCGCGTTTAATTAGTTTATATAATCAATGAAAAAGTTGGGAANCATACGTGCATACATACATATTTAGATTTTAGAATTTTAGATAGAAGGTATTAGAAACTACTTCTATAGTTTGTAATTTTACGCTACATACAATACAATAAAAATACAGATAGTTACAAAATATTACAATGCTTTGCTTTATTGTGAAAATGTAAATTAATCGCGTTTAATTAGTTTATATAATCAATGAAAAAGTTGGGAA